AAAATAATTTTGCACCTATATCTAAATTTCTCATTACTTTTTAACCATACATTTTCAAAAGATCACTATAACAAATCATTTTTCCCCAAAAAATGAGGATCAAATAGAGCCTATTTTTATTCTCATGTTGTTAATTTGGAAACATAATTGAGGAAATTAGATCAGTTATTAATTATTATGCACTTGTTTGATTCCATTATTTTAATAATAAAAATTTCTTTCTTTTTTTTCAATCACACTTCAATAAAATATTATTATACTCAAATTCAAAAAAATTTCTTATTTTTTAACTTCACATTTTTCATCAATACACTATTAAAAAATACATTATTATGAAAATAATGTAATTCAAACAAAGCTTAGATTGAACAACTTTGATTATGCTCCTGAGGAAGGGCCAAATGTATGTTTTGCATTTATGAATATAGATTCCACTCGAAGATTTTGAGTTTCACTTTATGGGGTTTTGCAAAATTACTCTCGTTAATGAAAAGACTTGAATAAGTGCTTGTTTGGTAGGAATTTTGATAATTGATTTTTTGACCGTTATAAATAAAATGAGTTCTACCTGTAAAAAAAGAATTCAAAAATGACGGCTGTAATAGTGAAATAATGGTTAAAAAATTAATTTTAATTGATTTTTTAGCTGTACCAAACAAGCTTTAAGTATTGCATCTCTTATCAGTGACTAAAATTATCAATATGAAAATTATTTATTTCTATAGAGATTGATAAACTATTGCCGTCTGATTTTATTTGCTGGAATATTTTGGTTTTGTTACTTTATCACTTGCAACCATGGTTATGCTTCAGTATTTCATTAAAAGATGCCGATGAAATGAAACAATTTGTATCCTCACGTCGATTTGGTTTGTGCCTCTAGTCTCCCAATTTCAAAACTTGTGTTGGATAGTGTGATTAATTTGTATCCTTCTGTTATGTGATAGAATTGCATTTTCAGAATCATAATTGTACATTTTCTTCATCTCAATAATGTCGTTAATTTTTTGTACCTTTGCTAATATTGCCCGGCACCCGCATTGAAAACAGTTTCATCTCTGTCTATTTTACGTGATTTTTACTTGTGATGATCGTGATCATCAGTTCAAGTCTCCTCAAAACCATTGAGGTGAGTACTCAATTCTAAATTTCAGGGTTTCGTGGGATTAGTCGAGGTGCGCGTAAACTATTCCGAACACCCACGGTCATAAAAAACAAAAAATAATAAATAAAATTTTTACTCATGATGATCATCTACCTGCTGCTCGTGGTATCCCATCACATATCAATATATCATAATTTGGGCAGCCATAGAAGATAGAGCGTTTTCATCAAAGGTTGAGCCATGATTTTACCATCACAAAGCCTTTGGAGTACAGCAAAACATCCCAGCCGTCTCTTGATGCTAAAAATAATATGAAGGGACGATGGCCTTCTTTCTTGAAATTCATTTGATGATGACTGCATTTAAAATTATTTTTGGTCATATTTTTCGAAATAAAAGGATGTAATAGAAAGAACACGGAACGCTCTATACGACAATGACTAATTTCTAAAATATTATTCACCGCCTTTATATTTTCAATTGGAATAAGATCGAATAAAAAAAAGCACAAGAAGTGCTAATTCTATGACAGCAATTTTTTCTTTGGGGGAATAATGTTTTGAATTTTAAGGGAAGTCTCGTTGAAGTTGAACCAACGTTCTCTAAAAGTCTTTTTAGTCAAGTACTTTCATAAAATTAATCAAACGAGTCCAAAAGTAAATTTTAAATCTCAAAAGCTTCTTTTGATTTCTTAAAAATCACGACAAACAAACCTTTACTTATTTATATCTTTCCCCTTATTTTGGCATTATTAAAACTTATTTTTAGGAAAAAATATAGTTTGTGCCCTTTGTTTGAGCCCCATTTTAATGGAAAAAATGATTTTTTGAATAGTGTATTGATGAAAAATGTGTGGTTAAAAAATAATGAAAAGTTTTAAATTTGCGTGTAATATTATTTTATTGAAAAATGTGCGGTTGAAATGATATCAAAACACTGTAGAATAATTCATTTTTTTCAAAAAATGGGGATCAAACAAGGTAATAGTGATTTTTTGAAAAATGTATAGTTAAAAAAGAATGAACATTTTTAAATTTAGGTGTAATATCTTTTTATTGAGTAATGTATAATAAGAAAGAGAAAAGAGAAAAATGCATTTAAAAGTCCAAAAAGGGGGCTTTATCTTTAACAAGTCCCTTGTAACGTACATTGTATGCAATACGCATTTGGGAAATTTTCATAATTAAAAGGATTACAATATACAATTTCAAAATTAAGAAATAATTTTTAAAACTTAAAAAATCAGATGATAATTAAATTTTATTGATTAAATAAGTAATTAAAAATTGTTAATTAGATATATTAATGTCTCAATTCTATACAATTTGATCACATATTATCAAATTAATTTATCACAATTATTTTTCCATTACAAATCAACAATTTTATAGGTCACATTTTATTTATCAATGACAAAATATAAAATGTTATAGGTTACAACTTATTTATTAATCACAATAAAAAAATTCATAGCTCACAATTTATTTATTGGTTACAAATCATAAATTGTATAAGTAATGATTTATTTTACGGTCACAAATTTTCAAATTAATTGGTTATAAGTTATTTCTTGATCAAAACTCAACCATTGTTTGAGCCATATTATTTTCACAAAAATACATTGTTAATAATGTAATGATGGAAATGTGTAGTTAAGAAAATAAGAAAAAGTTTAGAATTTGTGCGTAAAATTATTTTATTGAAAAATGTGTTGTTAAAATAATATCAAATTAATTTTCAAGAATATATATTTTTTCCAAATAATATGGATCAAACAGTCCTTAATAATTGTAAGTCATGATCACATTTTTTATGTCATATATTATTTATTGATAACAAATTAATCAATTTACTGATCACAATCAACCAAATAATTGAGTCACAAATACCCCATCCCATTCAATCACATCCCTCCTACAACCACTACACCATAGCCATGACCATCATCAATGTGGTGATTGATTAATTTGTGACTAGTTAATTTGATAATTTGTAACCTTGTATAGAATTTACTTTGTGACAAATTAATTTTATAATTTGCCATGTATAGAATTTTGACCTCAATATATCTATTTAATAATTCTATTTATTTAATTAATAAATTTTAATTATCATATGATATTTGAAGTTTTAAAATTTATCTCTTAAATTTGAAATTGTATATTGTAATCCTTTTAACTACGAAACATTCATTTCCAAAAGGGAATTCCAAAGAGAAAAATTCACAAACTAGGTGTCTACTATGATGCAATTCAATTTCAGATGTCAAGTTTCAAAATGTAAAACTTAGGTATTAACTAATTAATTAAATATAATAAGATCACAATTATACAATTAATGATCACATATATGTAATTATATCACATATTATCAAATTAATTGATCGCAGATTATATTAATCAATGTCACGAATAAAAATTTTACCCAAAATTTTTAGGTCACAATTCAATACTTGGTCACAGGTAACCCAATCATTGGTCACAACACCAAATGATGGGTCGCATACCACCACCATTGCTACTGCCACTACGTCCACTCGTGATCGCCCTCACCATTCCACCGCCGCCACAACAATTTGTGTAGTAGATAACCATCACTTCTTCCATAAACCACCACCTCCAAACCTTAAATTATCACCATTTTCCAATAAATATACACCATCATGCCACATCATCACCATCATCGACATCCACCACAAAAATCATCACAAAACCACCACCATTGTAATAATCTACACCTCCCCAAAAAATGAAAAAATAAAAATAAAACTTACAATCAGCAAAAAACCAATTGCCAGCTTTATTACCAAGGCCCTTAGAGACCTTGCCACCATCATCCTCACCGCCGCTAGACTCACCATCACCGTTAACACCTCTACCTGGACAACCAATAAAAACCACCACCATAATCATCCCAACCACCACCACCATACCCCAAACAAATTCACCACCATCATCAGCATCTTGCAAAAGCATCACGTCATCACAATATGATGAGGACATGAAAACCATCGCAAGCATATCCGTGACGTCACATTGCAGTTGCCGCCAGAGGTGATGCAATTCGATATTTTAAAAGAAAGAAGAATAGAGAAGGGAGAGAGAGATGTAGAGTGAGAAGGAAGAGAGAAAATGATTAGGGTTTGGGGGTTGCATGGTTGGGGGATAAGTAGATTTTATAATATCATTATTATATAAATAAGTGAACTAATACCTAATATTTGACCAAATAAACATCACACTTAATTTATGAATTGTAATTTTTAAACACCGGCATGTAATTTCCACACTTCCAAGTAGTTAGAAGATGTGAATTAGTCTAAGGTCCGTTGGGACTTGTCGTTGGCCCAGTCCACACAAAGGCTCCCAACCCAAGGGGGGCTCTAACAAAGCAATTTTCGAGTTAATTGTTTCAATGGTCACTGAATTTTGGTCTATGTTTTTGATTGGTCATTGAAATTTAAAATATTGAGTTTTGGTCATTGAACTTAGGTCAATGTCTTCGATTACTCACTGAAATTAGGTTTACGTCTTACATTGCTCATCGAAATTTAAAATGTCTAGTTTTGGCCATCGAACTTTAAAATATGCCGTACGTTACTCACTAACATAACTGTTGAACTCTGAAAAATATCAAATTTACAGTGAGTAATGTACAACATTTTTCAAAACTCAGTGAGTAATATACAATATTTTTCAAAGTTCAATTGTTAAAACTCGAAATTTTAAATTTTAGTGAGCAATTGAAAACATAGATTTGAGTTCAATGATTAAAATTCGATATTTTAAATTTTAGTGATCAATCATGTTCATTTACCTAAGTTCAATGACCATTGGAACAATTAACTCTATAAATGAATATAAAAAAAGTTTAAAAGGATTGTTTAATCAGTTAGGGTTTTATTCATCCCAATCCCTCTCTTACGACGTGTACAACCATGGAGGTACAATCCCAACCTCTAGCTCAGCCGCTATGGAGCAATATATTAAAGCAGCAGCCCAAAAATCCGCCGCCAGCGCCTCAACTATTCTCTCCCATTATCAATGATCAACAACACGGGGTTATGGTAGGAAGTTGCGATTCTCGGAAGGGAATATCGGTGGCGGTGGTCGATGCTAACGCCATAATCCAAGGTGGCGAGAGGCTATGCCTCTCGGCTGATCGATTTGTTTCTGTCCCTGAGGTCATTGCTGAAATACGTGACCCCGCTTCGCGTCACTCTCTCAAGTTCCTTCCATTCTCTGTTGACACTCTGGAACCCTCTTCGGATGCCCTAAGAAAAGGTAAGGTTTTCGTTATGTTCCTAAACTCATTGTTGCCTTATCAAACTAGAACGACCGGGAAAAAACCAGGTACAAATCCAGGAATCCGTCTAATCGTGTGTCTACAAGTAATGGGGTTGCAGATGTAGCCATGTAAGTATAGGTCCAGCTAAATTAAATCGGCCTTAATTGTATGCCACCACGAGGCCATAGGTAGGCAGTGCCCTCATGGGCGCCATGGCCAAATCATAGTGCCCAATGGTTGAGAAATATGTTTGTCTTTGAATAATAATTTATACTGCTTTATCATAGATATTTCATTTCAGTTTTTTATTTTTTTATTTTTGAATCATATTCATTGGTTAATTGGATAGGTGTTGAGTAGAAGTATCAGTTGATTACTGCTTGTTTGGGTTTCATTATAATCTCCCATTAAAAGTCAAAATCAAATTACCAACTTATTATCCAAACATAATTTCTCCCAGACAGTCACTTAGAGCATCTTCAAGACTCTCTTCAAACATGAGATACTCTATATTTTAATGTGTCAACCTTTCAAATCATGCTTCAAGAGACCTTTAAATTAACATTTTAATTTAGAGAGTAGGTAACCAAACTCACTCTCTATAATTAAATACATTCAAAATGTTTTAATTTTCAATGTAGGAAAATAATAAAATAATTTAAAGAAAAGCTAGTTAAAATAAATGATAGAGAAAAATAATAAATATTTTTTGGGAGTTGTAAAATTAAGTGATGAGTATAAAGAGCTTGTTGGATTACTTCAAAATTTTAACTCTATAAATTTATAGATCCTCTTGCTCTTTATAAATAGAGTCTCTTTGGAGATGCTCTTAGTTTATAAAAATTTTGGTGTAAAGCTGCCCAATTTTTTTATTTCACTTAACGGCGTTATTTTACTACGGGGTTTTGTGCATTTTATCATGAAGCTAAAAGTTTTCAGTTGTCTCAGAGTGGAGGATCAGTTGTAACATAATGAAAATATATGCAGAGAATATTGAAGATGGAACGTAAAAATATTGTATAAAATGCTTCTGATCGATAGACCCATTACAATTGATTAATCACTAATAGTAGTATTGGTTAGAGTCATCATAATTAATTGAATGCATATGGTTTTATATGAACTAACTTTCTTTTGGTTATGTTATATATGAAACATAAACTGAATTTATCATTCACTATGTGGAATTCACACTGGGTGTCTTATTTAACTTCAAACTCTGAATCGATCTTGATTTTCGGTAATGCAGTGATCAATTTTGCAAGGGCAACTGGAGACTTGCAAACACTTTCAGATGTGGATCTTAAGCTAATTGCTTTGACTTATACATTGGAGGCTCAGACCCATGGAACTCACCATATCAGAGACAACCCTCCTCCTATTCAGACGGTTAATGTGAAGAGACTGCCTGAAAAGGACATGCCAGGGTGGGGATCCAATGTTCCCAATCTGGAAGAATGGGAAACTCTAGAGCATGCGACTGAGGGTGGATCAATTCCGAATTCAAGAATTCTTCCCATGAAAAATTTGAACTTGAATGCTTTATCCGCAGATGAACATGGTACTGAAAACGGTTCAATTCAAAATGGTAGTGAATCACAGTCTGGAAATCAAGAGAATGCGGATGGTGGTTTCACTAAGCCCCGAAGATACTTTCAGCAGAAAAAGGAGATAAACATCGACGGGAAGAAGATGGTTGCTGATGGAATTGATGCATCGCAGGGTCATTATGACGATGAATCTGGTGACTGGATGCCTGCTGTAAGTCGGAGTACTCATAGAAGATTCCTGAGAAGGAAGGCTAGACGTGAAATTCATGCTGAGTTGTCGGCGAAAAGTGATCAACAAGATGCAGCTGAAAATGAGAGTGAAAACCTAGATGACGATAACTGCTGTCCAGATCTGATACCAGTACAAAGTTATGAAGAAACAGGGAATAGCAGCTTAGGAAATGGTAAGATCATTGATGGCAAGAACACTGATGAAGATATCTCAGAAATTTTGAATAACATGAGGCTTGAAGAAGAATCTCTAAAGTCTGTAGCAGAAGGTGAAGACTCTGATGTTGAAGTCGGCGATGAAGGACCGGAGTTCCCGGAGACTACTAGCCAGACTAGTGAGAATGTTGATGCACTACACATGGACGATAATAGTAGTGAACAGAGCTGGACACTAAGATCTTTGTCTGAGTCTAGTGTGGCTTGTGTAACTACTGACTTTGCCATGCAGAATGTGCTTCTGCAGATGGGTTTGCGCCTTGTGGCACCTGGTGGAATGCAGATACGTGAGCTACACAGGTATATGCATAATGCACGTATGATCCTTTCATAGATATATTTCTGCCACGGATTATTGCATACCGAGTAATTGTTTAGACTTGCATTACTGCATATAGGGGCTCGTTATAAATGCAAACAAAATTATGTTACACAGGTATAACTGTATTAGCAGTTACTTTTCAGGTTTATTTCTGTGTGGGAGGCTACTTTTGGAACAATCTGTCTTTTCTATGAAACAAAGTTCTTTTTATACTCAGGTGGGTGCTGAAATGCCATGCCTGCAATAAGTTGACCACAGAAATTGGTAGAATTTTCTGTCCCAAATGTGGAAACGGGGGCACACTGCGCAAAGTAGCTGTTACAGTTGGCGAAAATGGTATTGTTCTGGCAGCACGTCGACCTCGTGTATCCTTGCGTGGTACAAAGGCAAGTATATTTGTTAATTACTCCTCTTTTGAACTGATTTTAGAATGTTTTATTGTTTTACACGTTCATTTGCAGCATCTGCATAACATTTATTTTATGTAAGAAAAGGTAATTGGATATGGAATGGAAACTTCTTCTAGACCACTTCATATCACTAGCTTTTGCATGTTATAAGGGATCTGTATTTGAGATGTTCTCTCTTTGAATAAAGTATTTTAAGTTAGATCAGTTGATAACTCGCGCCTTTGTGTAGCTCTATATACTCTCAACTCTAAACTTATATTATCTTATGCACGCCGGCCTTTTTCTTTGCATATATGTGCATTTCATGTTTTTATGTTAATGCAAATCTGCATACGTGTGACCATAATAAGTTTACATATGTTAATAAAGATAAGGAGAGGAAAGGTATTTGTTTGGGTTGATTACAATTTCAGCATCTAAATGACGATTGCTTGAAATATGCTGGATAATGTAAATGGCGTTAGACAGCAAATGAACTTGGAAAATATTGAGTAGGTCTGTCGAGATATGTTTGCCAACATTTGATATTTTTTCTCACTGTATTGGTGCTTTGGTCGAGTAATTAGCACGTATTTGGTTTGTTTACAACAGTTCTCTTTGCCCTTACCCCAAGGGGGCCGAGCTGCCATTACCAAGAACCCGGTTCTACGTGAAGATCAGCTTCCACAGAAGTTCCTGTATCCCAAGACAAAGAAAAAGAACAAGCAGGTGAGAACTTTTTTTTCTCTTTCCGCTTTTATCTAATAAATTTTTTTTTTCTTTTTTATCCAACAAGTTTATTAACCCCCGCCTTTCTTGCACAATGTGTATTGTAGGGAGACGACATTTTTGCTCCAGATGATCTTTTCCTTACCCATACCAGTAAGAAAGCTCCGTTGCAGCCTCCTGTACGGAAAACATTAGCTGTTTTCAGTCAGAAGAGGAATCCTAATGATAATCATTACTCGCGTGCTAAACATTGAGTCTCATTTTTCCACAACGTATTTATGCAACTTTGGTGCCAAAATTTTTTGATGTAATGAGAAACTGGTTGCAGAAATTTTGTAGTGGCTTAATTTTGATGTTGGTGTGTGATTTTTCCATGTTTTATGTTGAGAACCTTAAATGAAATTTACAAGAAGTGTCGCTCCCTTATTTCTATTCTTTCACGGAATTCATGTGGAAGCATCAAGAGAACAACAATGAAGCAAGGTCTTCATTCACTATTTGTCACTCTCAAATGTTACTAGTTGGCCTAAAGATTACACAAAGAATTGACATTGGCCAATTACAAACCTTATGTTTCTATAACCCAATACCAAATGTTAGATTACACAAGATTTTAAAATGAAAATGAACAAAGTAAAAGGTATTGCTACTGTATATTTCTGTTGATCGGTTATGAATCAAGCGCTAGCTCGGCCCATGCCAATGATGATGCTTTAAGCTCGAGTGACACAGATGTGTCAATACCACTCTCCAACATGGCGCACAAGTCCTGCATTGATGTCCTAGTGCTAGAACTTGGATGGATGCATAAATTTACCACCTTGCATATAACTTTTAGGTCCTCGTATCTGAAGTGTTTCAACTCGGGATCCACCACATAAGATGTAATGTCAGGCATTTCAAGAAATTCCTTGGCCTGTTAACAAAAATGTAAATCAAGGGCTTTGCAAATGATACTCCAAACAATAGTAAAAAATGATAAATGAAAAGTTCAAGTTCTCGTCGTCTTACCCAAACGACTAAGCACCCTTTATCTTGGCAATATGGAGGTCTCCCACTGATTATTTCCAATAGAAGAATTCCAAAAGCATAGATATTACCCTGGATATCAAGATGGCGTTGTTCCATAGAATTCGGAAGAACACAAATGGCACCTTCATTGCTGATTGTGCCTGAGCTCTTCTCAGATCTCGAAAGAACCGACTTCCAGCTCTCAAAATCAACCAACTGCAAAAGTTGACCTATTGTGATATTCAGGATTTTAACTGCAAAACTTATCAACCAAAATTTTCAAAGCTCTGTAAAGTGTAGTTACACCCTTTATGCATGGAGTATTGGAGTGTAATGTAAATATTTTCAATTTTTTAATAGAGATTTAATGAAATGTATCTTTTGTCACGATGAAACAGTTTTATGGACACTGAAATTTCTACAAACACTGTATGCAAAGTGCAATAACTACCTTGATACAAGGTCTGATATGTAGATTTCCATGTAAGAATATTAGGGTTTAATCGCTTCAGCCATTGAATCAAAAAGATCAGGTTTATGACACTGATCACCTAGATATTCACATTATTAGCAAGCGATCTGGTCTCACCTTGGGAGAAAAATCATCTGTAAGATATACAGCACTGGAGTTCAATTCGGATATAGTAAATGGCGGATCAATTTCAGTGTGAAGATAATTTAGTCCCTTGGCTATGCCAATAATAATTTTCATGCGCCGTGTCCAAGAAAATTGACACCCTTCTCCGTCTGCATTTGATCAGAAAGCTTCTGCTTTCAGCTCGTGGGATAAGTTGGGAGTTCATAGCAAAGTTTTGAAATGAACAAAAAGAGAAGAAAAATGAAAACTCTAGCAAAGTTGCTTACAGTGAAGGTGCTCGTGAAGTGTTCCATTTGATGCGTATTCAAATACCAGCATCCTTGTAAACGGATTGCTTTCTCTACAACACCCTAGCAATTTTCCCGTATTTTCATGATTTAATCTTGCCAAATCTGCCACCTGAATTGTGTATACATAAATTCTCAAAGAATTTACCATTCCATAATATGTGCACGCAAAAACAGGAATAAATCATTCAATGAAACAAGAAAAAGATACCTCTTTCTGAAAATAAAGTTCAAGGAAGCCTGTCCAATTCTCTTCTATGAAGGAAAGGGATATTACAGCTATTTCCTGCCCGCCTTTCATGGTTCCTTTGTATACTAGGCTATCTGGAGAGGATCCGATAATGTTGCTGAAATCTTCACAAGCTATCTCAAGTTCTTGTCTGCTGTACCTCACCACATCCTTCAGTAGCTCGGAATCTGTAAAAACATTTTCTTCTGAAATTAGAAACAAAAATACAAACAGCAAACCAGATGTAATAATAGTCAATGCTAGATAACAGATAAATAAGAACATGTTTGGCTAAGCCTAAAAATATGAGTAAATTGCCTTTCGTTTCCAACATGTTCCATTAAGTCACTTTTTCTCTGTCCTTTTTACTTTTGACTTAAAAAAAATATTTATTTTCAAAGTTACTCTTATCTTACATTTAGTTTAAAACTACTTATTTACTTTTAAGTTAGCCAAACATGATCTAATTTCGGAGTCCAAATGGCATAGGACGGACATGAAAGACTAACCAGTGTACATCATCGTGTAGTCTTTATCACTTGCTGATTTCTTCCAAGGGATGATTATAGAAGGTTTTTGCTTGCACTTCTGAAGTGTAGTGACGAGAGCAATGACAAATAGAGAACCCACCATAATTCCCATCAATATTTCGAGGGACAAAAGCCATGCAGGTTTTGAAGCTTTAGGTTGGTGTGTGGATCTGTCTTCAACACGTTGGTGTTGTGTGTTAACTACTGGATGGTTGCTAGATGGCGAAGCACCACCTGCTATAACTGTTTCTTCATTAATAACAACACAGAGAACTTTATTCATTATGATAATAGTAGTCAATTTTTCAATAATTAAATGAATTTGGTGTCGCCAAATGCAGAAGGGATTAAATCCACCAACATTAAGCCACAATTTAGAAAAACGGCCGATACTTTGATTAGAACAGAAAACAGTTGTACTTTAATAATCAGATTTTTAAATTTTTTGATACATTTCATTAAAATTTTAAAATTCATCCATGCTCAAAATGCAAAAGCGATTGAAGTCATCAAAACACGTGACAGCCGCTTCAGAAAACCAGCAGCCAATACACCTTAATTAAAAGCAAAAAATGGTACACGCAGAATCAGATTTTTGCAACATTACTAAGTTTCAATTTTCATACATTAAATGAGAATGTATAATTTTATCTATATTTATTCACCCTTCAGGGGGAAAGCTCTTGTTTATGTATCTAAAGTCTTATTCACGTGTCTTTAGATGAGCACGAGGACAATTACCACAATGTTCTGTGGTGCGCTGCTTGGAGTCTTTATCTCGAAGGCAATTACCTTGAAAGCTCGATCTATAAGGTAAAATAAATGTGAAAATGCCAAAAGAAGAGAGGGAATTAAAGATAGAAAAGCAAGGGAGCCGTGTAATACCTAGAAAGATATCCCAAGCACTTGGGTATGCTTCCATTAAAAAAGTTGAATGAGAAATCTGCAACTTTTAATTGGGATGATAGACAAAAACCTGTGGGACTTCCAGTTGAAGCATACCTATTGCAATTATATTACCCAACAACATCACGAAACAAGCACTCAAAATTCTAGATTTAAAATTTTATTAAAAGTTTAATAATTAAACAAACTTCAGCAATCAAATAGGAGCTTTACCCTGATACAAGTTTATAATATCAAAATATGACTGACTGTTTTTTTTTGGGATCGATATTCATTTCCTAGCCGATAACTCATATACATTTAGTGCATGTTTGGTACATAATATTAGACTGGACCGAACAACATAATAAAAAAGATTTTAACTTCTTTTAATTCATTAATACATATCTACTGAAATTCCATCCTGCCTCACAAATATATCATTATTTCACAAACACAATTAACATGTGCAAACATGCCAATGATAGGTTCGATACATTGCCGCTGAAAAAAAGGACTCTTTGGTCGAGACTTGATGCTGTATGGACAATCAGGTCATTATATTATACAAATTAAATGAATAATGTTAATATTGAGGTCAAGTATATTCCATCTCCATCTTCATTCCATTTTTAAAAAAGCATTTCTCGTGAACAAAATTCTGATGGAGCACCATTGAATCAATAAATAAACAAGCAGATCATGTGTAATATGCAAAAAAGTTAATGCCAAACTTTGTCGGCTGCCATATAAAAGAAGTAATACAGGAACAAAAAATCCAACAGCTAAGCACCCAGAGAAGAAGAAGAAAAACACTTTCAGTCCGGTAGTAGTTTCCACTTACTTCCCGTGTAGATTGGAAGGGAACTCTGAGCCATTGCTAGCAGGGAATTGTCCTTGAAGCCTATTCCTATCCAGCCGGATTTCTTTGAGGTGCTTCAAGTTGCCAAGCTCGGAAGGTAGATTCCCTGTCAACCCATTGGATTGGAGGTTTCTGCAAGAAGAGAATAAAACAGGCACATAAGATAAAGCAAAAAATGAAGTCTACTCTACAAATCTAAATGTCGAACAACTCATGCTACACTGACATTTTCACAACACTGGTTAAGTTTCCAATCTCGGGAGGAATTGGTCCTGTTAGCTGGTTGATGCCCAAATCCAAGACCTTCAGGTTTTTCAACATACCAATTTCCTTGGGGATTGTACCAATCAGCAAATTTCCGTGCAAATTTCTGTTCATTAGCAGCGTACATAAGCAGTCTAAATAAATCTTGATTTAGAAATAAGTAGTAAAAATTAATTTCAGTACATCATATGAAAGAGAAGCTTACAATTCTTGCAAAGTAGATAGTTGGTTCAGTTCTGGTGCAATGAAACCCTTTAACGATGCCCCGGATATGTTACTACACAACCAAGTGGAATTTTTAAGTTAGGCACTGAATGAACATTTAGTACATAGTACAGTATAATAAAACAAGCTAATTTTTCCTGCTTAATACTATCCAGCAACATCCAAAAACAAGATTTTAGCTTATTTTTTCTCCTTAATACTATCCAACGATTTAGAGAAAAAAAAAAAAAGGCTTAATTTTTCTAGTTTCGACAAAGAAGAATGCATTTTCATGCATGTACTTTCAGTGAACTGAAACGATAGAAAATCTTACAGCTTTATGACATGATCTCTTGCCATAGAACAAGAAATTCCAGACCATTCACAAGGCTCGGACTCCATAGGGTTCCAATCTGACAAAACCAGAAGGGGATCCTCCATTATAGCTCTCTTGAAGAAAGTGAGAGCTACAGCTGAACAAAACCCACAAATTCTTCTGTCAAGAAAATATTACACGAAGTTTGCACTAATTTCTGCTAACATCATTATAATTACAATTAATATAAACGACAAAATTCCAAGATCTTCCCAAAACAAACTCAATTAATTTATCCAAAAACTGAATTCATCATCGACCACAACCCAAATTAAGAGTAATTAAACTTTTTAAGGAGCAAGTGAATCAAGATCTGTGAATCAACAAATGTAATACATAATAAAAGTACCTTCATTTTGTGGGAATGCATTACAAGCAGCAAGAAAGAGTCCCAAACTCAGCAAAAGAACTTGAAATGAAGAAAAAGATCCCATCTTCAATCTTTACACCCAGCAAGAACTTACAGAACCCATCAAATAACAGTTTCCTAGAAAGCCAAAAAGATAAAAGGAAAAAGACCCACAAGAAGTAAAAATCAGAATTATCTGGAATTGTATAAGTGCGTTTATCGTTAAACAGAGAGAATAAGTTGGTATCAGAACAAGAAGCTCAAGTAGAATTGCATTGTTTATCAATAATTAATTTAAATGTTAGGGGACATTATAAATAATTGAAGCAAGCTTAAGGTTAAATCTATGAATCAAAATCCATAACAACCCATGAAAGCAATGAAAGAGTGGAGTTCAAAAGGAACCTACGAATAAGAAATCTTTGATTTGAAGAGAGGTTTGGTTCGGTGTCAGAAACAGAGAGATATTAGTGAGTGAGTAAAAACAGAAAAAAAAAAAAAATAATAATAATAATAAATAAAATAAAAAATATATATGTATATATAAGTTAAACACTATTCAAATTAAACACAGAGTAAATACTTGACCAGAAAACATCGAGTGAGATGGATTGGAATATTTTTGTCAGCATTTGGGGCGTTTGAGTTGGATTAGTAATAGGCAACTTTTTTATTAGGATAAGGAAATTTCACGGATATTGCCATCTTTGGATGGTCATTGGTGGGAGAAGTGGTGTTACAGCTTTGCATGCTAACGATTGTACTATCAGTGATTAGAAAATGTGAAAGAGGAATATATCTTGTCATATGATAACTTTATTTATTCATCATTCGTTTTTATTTAATTTTATAAATTAAGTTCTCGTTTGGCTCTCATTCTCCTTTTCCTTCTCATTTTTTTCTCTCTTTTATTTTCAACCACACAATATTTCATAAAATTATATTACACCCAAATCAAAAACTTTTCATTCTTTTTCAATCACACATTTTTCAAAAAAAACATTAATTCAATCATTAAAATTTAGAAAAAATGGAGGTCAAAATAGGGGGCTAAATTATTTATAAAAATATGTTTCAATATGTATTTTCAGCAAAATTGATCTGATTGTGAGTCTTATCAATTAAGAATCATGAGTTAGTTCTTCATATCTCTAGAAAAAATAAAAAATTAACTTCATTTTTAATTTTATTCTTATAGTCTCTGAATTAAATAATACATATTCAAAATAATCAAAACAAAAGGTCAATAAAAAGATAATATATTTATGTAATGCTAGAGATAACTACAATTAAATGATAACACAAGTATAATATAACATCTATCACCTTGTAAATATATCTAAGATAGCATTTATTGTCTCAAATATATTATCAAATTGATGTAAGAGTTTAAAAATGATTTAAATTATAAATAGATAATAATGAGTGATGAATAAATAAATAATACTTATAAATTCTTTGCAGTATGTAATAAAAAATAATTTAGGGGTGTATTCGAGTGAGATTTTTAATGATCTTTTGGGATATCTAAAGTTTAAAAGTATTTAATTGAGACTTTTTAAAACTCTCTAAAAGTCACGTTATATTCAATCGAAAGTTTTACAGACTTTTAAAAAGTCTCTAAAAATTACGGTATATTCAATTAAAATTTTTTAGAAGTTTCTATAAGTTTTGGGATATTCAAGTTTTGGAGTACTAACTTTTAAGTAGAAAGTACTCATATAACATTTTAAAATTTATCCCTCATTAATCACGAGATTTTGGGAGATTTTCATAAAATAAATAAATAAATAATAAAATTCAATCTTTCTTTTATTTAAGCTTCTATGGACATGTATGATTAAAATTTTTTTAATTGATTATATTCCAGTTATCTTTCTTTTTCAACCTGTTTGTGAGTGATTTTTTGGATTAAAAATTTGAATTTTTGATAGTTATTTCATTATTTCAACTGTCATATTTGACTTTTTCTCTCATTGGTGAACCCTACTTTTCTTATAACAATAAAAAAATCAATTATCAAAATCACTCCCAAACAGGCTCTCTTTATCTTATTATTTATCTCTATTTTCTATGAAAAAATTAAATTGAATTCGTATAACTTTTTTTTTTCTTTTTTCTTTAATTTTTTTGTGAAAAATATCTATTTTTTTTATTAATTTAAAAAATTTTATATGAAAATTTATAATTAAATTTCAATATATTGATTTTATATATTTTTAAAAGTATATTATACTAATAATATTGAATCATATATTGATAGGCTAAGTAGTTATTAAATTAAACACCTCGTACGCCTATAAGTACATCACTCAAGAGATTAATTATTATATCAAACATATACAGAAAGAGTGAACCAAATATCTATCATTAATGATTGAAGAAGCTGAATACACAAACTTATTAGTCTATTATCAATTTTAGATTAATTTATTTTGAGACTTCGATATTCTATTCAATAAAACGATCTAAATATATAATGACGTTATCGATAAAACAAAAAATATATATTGATGGAGAATGTGTGGATGAAATATGAGGAAAAATTTTGATTTACGTGTAATATTATTTTAATGAAGAATGTATAATTAAAAAAAAAAAGAGAAAAATGTATTTTGATAAAAATAAGAATCGAACAGGGTAATGTAGTTTCGTGTTCTTAATTTGAATTTGGGTAAGGATGCTACATTTTAATTTTAATCAAGGTCTTAAATTTTTGGCCTGAAAAGTCTTTGAAGTTCTAATAATTTTGATGCGCTATGATATAATATTCCAATAATGAGACTTGCACAAAACAAGATCGAAATATGTATACTGTCTAATCAGACTTTAATATTGGGATAATTTTAGAGAGGAAATGATGTAATATAATTATATTAAAACCATATGAAAAGACTAGGACAAAAGGATAGATACATAAAGACTACGAAACCCTTTAAGCCAGAAAAGACCAAATTACTCTTAGCACATATTAAACATAATCCGATAATATCTGAAAAAGAGAATCCATGTATGATTTTAATAAGAATAATGCTATACAGTTCCGCTGGGGTTACAACTCCAATTTAGACGACGCTAGATGATAAGTTGAATGAAATGTAAAAGTAAATGATTTATTTAATTTCACCTAACATTTAATGACACATTAACGCTAATTTGATTGGATTGTAACCCCAATAGGACTAAATAACATTGCTCTTTTATTAATCAAATCTCATCGACAAATTGCAAGGCGGATTCAAGACAAGGTCACCATGGGATAGTGCTTCCAAACAAGGCTTAAAACATTTTCGATGTAAAAAGAGAAAAAGAAAAACTCTCAAGACATTATTAAGACGAAAATCGATTGGGTCAAGGCATGTAAATTATGTCGTTTTTACCCCATGTATGATGATCATTAAAATGAGTTTTGAAATGTTAATTTTTTGGAGAATTATGATTAAAAAAAGAAAAAATTTTGATTTTACGAACGAAATATTTTATCGTGAAAATGTGTAGTTAAAAACGATAAACTCATAAGTACATAAAAAATTTAACAGAACTTGCACCGAAAATGATGTAGCAAAATGTAAGTGGACTATTTTTTTCTCTTTTTTCTCATGTTTCAATGATGTCACTAGGTTTTTCGGTCAAAAAATCTGTATTTGTAGCATGATTAAAAATGAATTTTAAAAATAGAATTTTGTACTAATAATTGTCAAACATGAGCTAATAAAAATAAGACATTCGTTTGATAAGCTCAAAGATTTACTTGTAAGTAAGTTTGTTTTAAAGTAAATTTTTCATTGATGAAAATTGCAAATATATAAACTATTTACTATTTATCATGACAATTGAGTAAAATTTATTTTCAAAATCAATGTTTTTTAATTAAAATTAAAAAGGTAAATTATTCAAATTGAATGGAAACAAAAAGAT